AGGTTGAGGTTTGCAAGAGTACACCCTTGTGGAAATGAAGACAAACTAAATCAGGGATAGAATGCCTGCTCATGTAATTATTCCCACCAAGAATACATACATACATACAAGACGCATGAAATTTGTACTTTTGTATTCATCATGTGCAATTTTGACATCCATCATAATATCCAAAATAATCAGTCAAAAATGCATTATTTTTAAAAATCAATGTTCAGAAATGATAAACAGATCTTCTGAAGATATTTCCTCAACATGAAGGAGCAAGCAGAATATCTATCACCTTTGATGGTGTTTTCTAAAAAAACAAAATTATCTCTTTTGAGACAATTTCTTCTTAAGAAAAATCTTTAGTTTGTTTCTTTGGAAACAAAATTTTTTCTTTTGAAACTTCTTTTGAAGCATCATCTCTAAGTCGATTTCTTTTGAAACCAAAATCCTTATATGGCCAAGATTCATCATAATATGAGCAATGTCATCCCTGACCAGCCGTCCTCATCAAGTAGCAACCGTTTCAACCAGATAACCAGCCGTCCTCATCACGTAGGAACCGTGTTATCACCTTTAGATGGCCAGAACTCTTCATTACGTATGAGTCGTGTCATCAACTGACCATATCTCCTCATTATGTATGAGCTGTGTCAACCCAGATAATCAGTCGTCCTCATCATGTAAGAACCGTGTTATCACCCTTAGATGGTCTGTCGTCCTCATCGCGTAGGAACCGTATCATCACCCGACTAGATTTCCTTATTAAGTAGGAGCTATGTCAACCTAGATAATCAGCCGTCCTCATCACGTAGAAACCGTGTTATCACCCTTCCTAAAGATGGCCAAGATTCATCATAGTATAAGCAATGTTATCCCCTGACTAGATCTCCTCATTATGTAGGAGTTTTATCACCCTTAGACGATCCGAACTCTTCATCACGTATGAGCAGCGTCGTCTCCCAAATCAAACAACAAATCTCAAAACTAAAAAATTGGTTGTCTTTGCACTATTCTTGTTAACACAAGAATGTGCAAAGAGGGACAGCTGTAAACACCTATTTTTGTCTGGGCTTTAAAAATTATTATTATTAAAACAAAATTACAATGTTTACAGACCCACAAAACAAAGACCCAGTTACATCCAACTCGGTTACAACCCGACCCGGACCCGGTTGCAACAACCCATACTCGTGCCATTTCCAACTCCCACGTGAAGCACCACACCCGAGTAACTCATATCCACTATGCTCGTCCCATACCTGTCGGCCACCAACATGTTAGTGCCATTACCTGCAACACCCATCGCTCCACTACCCATATTTAATGGAAATCAATAGATTCCAATGAGGTAGTGGGTATAGCATATTAATAGAACAATATTAAAAGGAAGAATGGAGAGCAAACGAAAGTGGGGGGAATTATTATTTAATAATTGTAATTTTGGGCTATAAGAAGGGAAGGATAGCGCTCGGGGTCCCTCAAATTTTGTAAGAACTGCAATCAGGTTATATAATGAAGTTTTTACCTTTTTTCATTTTGAGCTTACTAGTTGTTGAGAATTTTGATTTTGTCCTTGCTTGTATGAATAATTATGCTTATATTTGAGATCTAGCCATCTTACTTTAATTTATTCATGTTTAAGTATTGTATGTTTTTATCAATTCATTTTAGATTTTTTTAAAGATAAAAACTTCATTATATAACCTGATTGCAGTTCTTACAAAATTTGAGGGACCCCGAGCGCTATTCTTACATGCACCTAACACATGTTACAAAACGAATATATGCTCCCTCACTTTTCTTCCCTTCCTTCCTACTCGTATCATTCCCTTCTTATAGCCCAAAATTACAATTATTAAATAATAATTCCCCCACTTTCGTTTGCTCCACATTCTTCCTTTTAATATTGTTCCATTAACATGTTATACACACCACCTCATTGGAATTTGTTGATTTCCATTAAATATGGGTAATGGAGTGATGAGTGCTGCAGGTAATGGCACTAACATGGTGGTGGCAGACAGGTATGGCACGAGCATAATGGGCATGAGTTGCTCGGGCGTGGTGCTTCACGTGGGAGCTAGAAATGGCACGAGTATGGGTTGCTGCAACCGGGTCCGGGTCGGGTTGTAACCGAGTTGGATAACTGGTTATCTAAGGTTGACACAGCTCATACGTGATAAGGATATCTGGTCGATGGAGGACAATGTTGTGACACTAAATCGATCCATTGGGCACGATATCATTCTTTGTGAAGTTCAAATTTTGGGTGGCTCCCTCGTCGTGAAGTTGAGCTTTGAGTTTAATATCCTTAGTCGTGAGTTGAAATTCAATCTTGCATAGCTTCAAAATTGACTTTAAGTTGGATATCATTCGTTGTGAAGTTAAAATCCAATCTTGCAAGTTTCACCAAATTGGCTTTAAGTTTGATATCCTTCGTTGTGAAGTTGAAATCCAAATATTGCTTCACCAATTTAGCTTTGAGTTGGATATCCTTCGTTGTGAAGTTGAAATCCAATCTTGTGTCTCACCAAATCGACTTTGAGTTGGATATCCTTCGCTGTGAAGTTGAAATCCAAGTACTGCTTCACCGAATTGACTTTAAGTTGGATATCCTTCGTTGTGAAGTTAATATCCAATCTTGTAAATTTCACCAAATTGGCTTTGAGTTTGATATCCTTCGTTGTGAAGTTGAAATACAAGTATTGTTTCACCAAATTGACTTTGAGTTGGATATCCTTCGTTGTGAAGTTGAAATCTAATCTTGTGCTTCACCAAATTGGCTTTGAGTTAGATATCCTTCGTTGTGAAGTTGAAATCCAAGTATTGTTTCACCAAATTGGCTTTTAGTTGGATATCCTTCGCTGTGAAGTTGAAATCCAATATTGTGCTTCACCAAATTGGCTTTGAGTTGGATATTCCTTCTTTGTGAAGTTGAAATCCAATCTTGTAAGTTTCACCAAATTGGCTTTGAGTTTGATATCCTTCGTTGTGAAGTTGAAATTCAATCTTGTGTTGTCTCGAGTCCAATATCCTTCGCTGCGAAGTTAAAATTAACTCATGAATCTGCAAAATGAGACACATATGTGATGTTATGGATGCAATGCTCTTATGTATGCCTAAAATGTATATGTGAAATATGTTTTTTTAGGATTTGGAGAGAAATCTCAATCTCTGATTGTCAATTTTGATGACTCTTGATTCCGGAATCTTGAATTTCTTGGAATATGCTTGAATCTGCTGTACAAAATATTGTTTTTATTCTTGATTTGGGAAATGTCTTTCAACCATCTTTTGTATGGTCCCTAAATCTCGATCAGCTTCCGAGCATCTGTACTTTTCAAAAAATCTTTGTAAAGTAATATGCAATTATCTTTTCCAGGAGTGAATGAATCATTAGATTTAAATTCAAATCAATATGCTTAAAAGGACTTGATTTAGTGAAATGGTCGTCTTTATTTTTTAAGGGAAAAAAAGAGCAAACAGTACCTGACAAACATTTTGGAAAGTCAGTACATAAAAGAAAGATAGATGTATGCCTTAGATCTAAATAATGCGGGCATTTTTAAACCTTTTATCGTTAGATGACTTTTGAATACAGCCTTTGTCCAGAGATCTTCGAAAATACGACAATGTTCGGGAGAGTGCAACATTCTTCCAAGTCGTTAAGTATGTAGAAGATTTGGACGTCGTGACCTTATTGTCTTGATTCAAGACCTCTTCTAGATCATTATCCAAATCGCCCTTTCGGGGTTTTCAACTTGGGCCCATCTATAGTTTCAAGACGCCCTTTTGCAGGTTTTCATCTTAGACCCACCTTATTATTATTTTTTTGATTTAGGAAGTCTTCTCGTGTTTTCATCCTAAACGAAATCTTTTTTACTGCATCTGAATTAACGGGATTAGATAGTTTCGGCCCGTCTATTTCAGTCAGGATAAGCGCTCCTACGAAGGTCTTTTTTCACGACATAAGGTACTTCCCAATTTGGCATTCATTTTCCTCTGAAGTCTTTTTAAATTGGCCAAATTCTCTTTAGCACAAGATCTCCTTCACGGAATACTCTTGGACGAACCTTCTTATTATGTGCCCGAATCATTCGTTTCTGATAGAGTTGACCATGATGAATGTCTTTCAACCTTTTTTCCTCTATTAGGTTTTAACTGGTCATATCGTGCTTGAACCCAATCTGCATCATCAAGTTTGACTTCTGACAAAACCCGAAGTGAAGGGATTTCTACCTCAATGGGAAGTACTGCCTCCATCCTATATGCTAATGAGAACTGGGTTGCCCTAGTCGAAGATTGTACCGAGGTCCAGTAAGCGAACAAAGCAAAAGGTAATTTCTCGTGCCAATCCTTGTATGTCTTAGTTGTTTTCTCCACTATCTTATTGATGTTTTTGTTTGCTGCTTCTACTGCTCTGTTCATCTTTGGTCTATAAACAGTAGAGTTATGATGTTTTATGTTGAACTGTTCACAAGCAGCGTCCATCATCTTATTGTTCAAGTTTTTAGCATTATCGGTAATGATTCTTTCGGTTAATTCATACCGACATATTTCTGATAAAACGTAGACCAGGTAAGATGGTATCCGATCAACCTAAATATTTTTTAAATGATCGGTGGTGACTCTAAATCATTTTATTCAAGTCGAAACCAAGTTTCGGACTCACCCGAAAGACGGTTGCTACAATATGAATTTCACATAGAATTAAAATTCAAGCTATAACACCTGTAATGTATGTAAAGGTTAGAAGTATCTTCAGGAAACTCTGGACGTAGAAGCAATGCTTGCTTATAGCTTGTGACAGCAACCTTCACATGCCCACTGAAATAAAATTTACAAGAAAAAAGAACTCAAGAATCACCAAATTGCTAGTAAAAGGCCTTTTCTTCACCCCCTCCCCCAAAAGAAAGAATCTCAAATACAATGTAACATTTATACCAACAAGAGTAGGATGCATATAATTCATTTTTCCTCATTTTGGATGTAAACAACCCACATTCTTCTTCTATTTTGAGCTAAAATGGTTAATCAATGAAAGACTATGAAGGAGTATATTTTAGAAGTTACTAATATTCAAGAAGTGAAATCAACTATACAAGGATTATGATATATATTGAAGTTATATTGATATGTTAACATTTATCGCAGGGGATGCAATAAACTAAAATGACAAAAATCTACTCAAAACAAAGAATATGAAAGTAAGGCAGCATTGTTCATTAGCAAAGAGCAGGAGTTAGAAAGCTCACAGACATTGCTATAAGCTCGGATAATAATTCCAAATGAAAACACCATTTTCATTTTGGGAAACAACCTCTTTTTTCCGAAGTGTCACATCAAAAGATGCTACTAATCCTTGCAAAACCTTTTGACAAAAAAGGGTGCCAAGGAATGTGACCATTAAAAGAAACTATGGAAACCAAGAAAATTACCTATCCTTGTAAGCAGAAGCCAGATTTGTATGGGCCTCAGCCATATTTGGCTGAATATTAATAGCACAGATATAATCTTGAATTGCTTCAGTCACTCTACCAATCTCCTTGTAAGTGTTACTCCTATTTACAAGTCCATCAACTGCCAATGGATCAATCCGCAAAACCTCGTTGTAACAAGATATAGCTTCCATGTAATTCCCCTATGGTATAAATAAAAAAACATAAATATATAGGCAAAAGAAAGAGGGCACTTAACATCCATTTAGTATCAGAAGAAGAAAAACAGAAAATCAAACACCATAGAACAACCTGTTGCTTATAGATTACTGCAAGGATACTAAATGGAGCAGATAACCCTGTTGTGACAGCAAATGTAACCTTGTAGTAAGAAGCAGCAGCAGAAACCATGTTCCTGAGAATTCCCAAAAATCTGGTAAGAATATAATTCACTAAAAACTCATCACAAGCTAAATTCTAATCTTCAAGGATATCATACCATTCCATATATATGTTCCCAAGGTTGGTAAGAGCTTGTTGATGGTTCGGTTGCAAAGTGAGACATTGCTTCACCAGCGAAGAGAAGTGGTAAGTTCAAAAGATCATTAACAGTAAATGAGAAAATAAAACTTAATACAAAAAAAACCTACATTATAGCATTGAATTGCCTCATCATCACGACCCACGTCTTTCAATGCATTTCCCTTCAAGATAATAATTAAAAGCAAATCCAAGTAATCTGAAACAAACTGAAAAAACCAACCAAATAGTTGTATGCTTCCACAAATCTTTGATCATAGGCAATAGCTTGCTTATAATGGAGGATTGCCAAATCCAACTGTCCTTGCTCATAGTATGCACTAGCCAGATTCCCAGCAAGATGGAGTCACAAAACCTGGTATTGCAATAACATAACTAAGAATATCTTTAACATATACTCCCCCTGTCCCATAAAAACTGTCCATTATTGACCTTTTTTGGTCAATTTTTATAAATTTTGATTAATTATTTTTTAAAATTTAAAATTGATAAAAATATGTAAAAATATATTTTAAAAACCTTCATGTAAGTAGTTTTCAAATTTATATTTTACAAAATTTAATTATTTAAAATAATCAATGTCAAAGTTTAAAAAATTTGACTTTTTAAAAGTCAACAAAGGACAGTTTTTATGGGACAGAGGGAGTAATAAAGTTCTGGATATCCCTAAGCATAAAAATAAATAAACACAACTATCGGGTCATAGTAAGGTCTATATATCACATTTTATCAATGTTGGTTGGCACCCAAACTTGTATACATGCAGTGACTTTGAGATTAATATGTAAGGGAGAAAAAACAAGGAATTAAAAGATGAGAGGAGAAACCACTGCAGAAAACAAATCATAGTTTCAAAGAAAAATAAAACAAGTCTAATTTAGTCATTCACCTAAACATAACAGCAGGAAAAAAACACAGACATATATATGACCAATCAAGCAGCCCATTTCAATTCATCTGAATATTTTGACCTTCATTAAGAGAAAGAAAGTGATTCATGTGGTATAGCAGCACTTACCCAGAGCTATTGGATTGTTTGGCCTAGTTTGAACAGCTAGCTGGTAATAGACAATAGCCTCCTGAGGCACTGCCAAAGCCTGGAAAAAGCAAAAACAAGATATATTGTTTTGCTCCAACACAGAAACACCAGTCCAATCATTTGCAGCAAACTGACATTAAGAGCACAGGGCAAGAAGGCTTACCTTATAAATGTTCCCAAGATTTAAATAGGCATCAGGAAATGTGGGCTTGTGTTTAACAGCTTCCTGCCATTTGAAATTTACAAATAGAAATCAATATAACTGCATTTAAAATATCTCTAGAATTGAAATTAAGAGTGCAGAAAAAGGTAGATTATATCTCACATAACTTGTCAAAAAAGAATCAGCACATGAAAAATGAGTCATGCAAGCAAGCAAACAATGAAAAATACAGCATTAGAAAAAGAAAAGAAAAAATCAAAAGAAATGATGATGGAAACAAGATTCAGCATACCTTGTAATACTGAAGGGCTCGATTTAAGTCACTTGAATCCATGAAAAGACCAGCAACGTTTGACCATGCAATAGCAAACATTGGCTGTATCCGTAGAGACTCGAGATAGCAACTGTATGCCTGCACAAAATGTTAGATTCTGACAATTTGAGTCTTTGAAGATGGAAGTTACAACAAGAGCAAGCATCATCTGAGCCCCTTGCCTGTGGAAAACAACTTGATATCTGTCATGAACTGTAATATCGACACAGTTCCACACATGAATTACTTCCATCAGTAACTTACCTGATAAAAGGCACAGTATAAAATCTAGATCTAGGAAGGATGATTTCCACTAACATTCTGTTTTGGCAGGATGGTAAGAATCTAGGCAGGTTAATCCAGCAATGAGCATACAAACTCATGCTGGGCAAGAGATTAGACCACTTCCTCCAAACAAAGGTAAGATCGAAAGAATGAGAACCAACCAAAATTCAAATTGCAGATGTTCAACATTGGAGTTGCCAAGGGCATGAATGCATCAGTTGAATAATTTAGCCCAAGAATTCAAATTTCCGCTACTACTTCCATGGTTAGCTATCAAACAGTAGAAACATTTAATCCTCGACACTTACTTCTTGCACCAGCCCTTGTGCCTTCATTAGATTTCCAAGGTTACTATGAGCATCAACCTGTAGGGAAATCAAAGTATATATGTCAAAAAATCTTATTGAAACGTGTTGTGCTTTAGTTGTTAAGAAAGTGAAGAAACCAAAAATTGAAATTGAATGTATAACTTCCTGTTAATTTGAAAATTAGAACACTTATGGATTAAAATAACATATAACCAGATCAAAATATACGAAATGGGATTTAATTGCAGAGCCTGACTGCAACACTGTGCAGCCTCATTAAATCTTCTCTTTAGCATGTAAGCACTAGCTAAATTTGACCATGCATCAGCAAAGTTAGGTTGAAGCTGCACCAATACAAGTTCAAAAAAAGATCAGCAAACTAAGAAAAGATTTCACTAGCAAAGGAGGGTAACAAAAATTAAGTTTTATAACCATATATACAAACCTCGATTGCAATCATATAGTACCGAATGGCAACATCAATATCGCCTTTTTCCTACATGTTAGGGAAAAAATACACCGTTATCAGTTCTTCAAAAATCCTTTCTAAAATTCAACTTTACTTTTATTGTAAAAGATTGATGCAAAGATTAATGAGTACCTTCCAAGCATTTGCCATGTTTCCATAACACTCAGCAAAACGAGGCTCAATTCGAAGGGCTTCTTCATTTTTGGCAATGCACATGTCATAATCATGCAACTGAACCTTAGACCATACGATCATAATGCTAGTACTACAAAATCAGGATCCTATAAAAAAGATCAAAAGGGAGGCTTTTTTAACCTGATAATAAATAGCACCCAGAAGAAGTAGATTATCTGTCCGAAGGGGTATTGGTCATAAACAGCATTGCTATGATCCAATGATTGTTTGTAGTTTCCACTCTTGTACAATTAAAAAAAGATCATACTGGTCAAAATTTCGATCAGTTAAAACTTATGGTAGAAACTATACAATAAAAGCTTCTAAAAGGCCTAAAGTCAATAATTTTAATTCAAATTTAAAGAATTACAATACATGTACGTATAATGATGATGATATAACAAAAACCCTAAAATTAATAAAATGTGCATCAGAAGACGATTTTTATATAAAAAAAAGGCAAACCTAACTAAATGAAAATGCATTTTACAATTAAACATAAACTTGACATACGAAATTCGAAAACCAGATTCTTAAAAGAGAAGGGGAAAAATACTTATTACTGATAGAAAGACAACAAAGATGCCTAACCTTCAAGTGAATCATGGCCTTCATGAGGCGCAATACCAAGGGAAGAAGCCGGCTCCTGTTTGGCCCCATAAACGGCGTCTTTTCCGGAAACCACCGAGGAAGCGTCGGAGATAACATCAGTACGATCGGTGACGCCGCTTCCGTGGGAGGAAGCCCTAGAGATCCCGACTCCGTTGTGCCACGACAACATATTCGATCTCCCTCCTCAACAAAACCCAATCATTCAAAAATGGCAAAAACAAAAAAGAGGACCTGAAAATTGATAAGATCAAAGGGATAAGAAATGAAGAACGAATGAATAAGTAAATGAAGTGGATCAAACGCTATCCTTATCCTTGCTTCCTCTCTTCTAATTCTTGTTGAGGGAAAAAGTAGTGATTATATAAAGAAGAGAGGAAAATGAGGGCCGTACAGGTAGAGATCCATTAGGAGAGAAACAAAGAAAACTGGGTTTGCTTAGGGACACGTCTGTAGTACTGTGTGTGTTTGGGGACCTCCAAGATTGCCCCCTTTTTATTCTCTTCTGTTTGCCTTAATCATATCATGGTTCATAAAGATGTAACAAACTAAATCTTCCCCCTTTTTAAATCTTGTCTATAGTGGTAGAATTCATTTATTTCAAAGAGTGGGCGAAAAGCAAAGAAAAAGAATTGTTTAAAAAAATAATTCAATTGTTGGGTATAGCTTAGGGTGTAAACGAGTCGAGGTCGAGTATTGTTAAGCTCGACTCGATTCGAAAAATCTGAAATAGAGTTTGACTCGATTCGAAAACTCACGAGCATAAAATTTTTAAGCTCGACTCGAACTCGAAATCCTGAACTGAAGCTCGTGAGCAACTCGAAGAGGCTCGAAATGAAAAAAAATCTTAAACTTAACAAGATTGAATCTTTAAACTCAAACTCAAACATGAATCTTAAATACATGAAAGCCTTATTGTATTTAAAAAAACAACACATAAATATTAATAATTTATTTTTTTTAAAAAATAAATTCTTATTATATTATATTTTCGAGCTGGTCACTAGCTTTTCGAGTCGAGTATCAAGTAGCTCGTTTTGGCTCGTTAAGAATTCGAGTCGAGTTCGAGTCGAGTCAATTCGATCCGAGTATTTATCGAGCCTTGACCTAGTCGATCTCGAGTAGCTCGCGATTTGTCTCATCTCATTTACAGCCCTAGTATAGCTGCTGGGGCCAATCCCGAAAGTGGCATTTCAATCTCCACTTTGCACCATACTTTCTAATATATACGGATCGATTTCAGTTGAACATCTGATTTTAGTGAGTGATTTTTTCTACATAGATTTTATGTATACATAAATACTCGAACTCAATATTATCTTAAACGATATCAATACTCGAACTCAAGATTATCTTAAATGATATCAAGCTACTTATCACTTGAAATAATCCGTAGATAACTTTAGTTTTTTTGTTTTAATATTATTATTAAAAATATTAATTTCTAATAATTTGATATATAAAATTATATCACATCATCTGAAAATGGTTTTTGAATATGTATTTTTTCAAAGAAAATTGCAAGAATATTGTCTTTACGGGAAACCCAATAGATATCAATTATTTATGTACGTTGTTACAATTGGTGAATGTTAAATAAATCTATCATATAATAGATCACAAGTAACATGGGTACGTTATAAATAACATAATAAGCTCATAAGGATATAATAGTCTTGAGACCCTATAATTTAGGGGGTGCAACTTAATGTGTCTCGCAAAAAAAAAGATAAATTATACATTTGATACTTAAACTATCAGTTTTGATCTATTTTAGTACTTGAACTTTTAATTTTTTCAAAATCATATTTAACATTTAGTTTTTATTTTATTTTAATCCCACCATTAAAAACTTATGCATTTACTGTCAGTTTTGGTCCATTTTAATACCAAAAATTAAAGTTAAATTTTGAATAGGGTACTAAAATGAAACAAAACTTAAATTTTAGGTATAGTTTTAAAAAATTGAAAGTTCATGTAATTAAAATGACCAAAAATAATAGTTTAGGTACTATATGTGTAATTTATCCAAAAATATAATTATAAGTTTATCAAATGATTATTATATTTATTAAATTATTATAAAATAACAATTTCATTTCATGAATAATAATTAAATTTATTAATCATTATAAAATAATTATAATATTTATAGTTTTCACGAATCTTTTTTATTGAGAAATATTGTTTCCAGCACAAAAAGGTCCACCAATCCTCGACCCACATGCTATTAGAGCATTACATCAAACTTTAATCTGAAAAAAATGCAACAAATCTTTTGCACAAAAAGGATCACATAGATTGTCCCAAAGGACCGCGTAGAACCTTCGACTTTTGGCATGCCAACTATACCCCTAATTCTCACATATACACCTTGGGCTTTAACTTATAATTATTTTAAGTTTCACTATTTAAAGTGTATCTTATTTGTATTTAGAACATTCTCGTAGATCATTTACACGTAAGACATTTCATATTCACATATCACATGTTCACATTCAAACACAATTAACAATAGAACTTACTTGAAAATATACTTGAATAAAACATCATAATATATTGCATAAAAGAATTGAAAATAGTTTTCGATCGAAAACTTTGAAGTTGGCTTGTCGCAAGCCGTCCTCAAATCCAATATAAACAATTTAGTGGCACTCACATTTGCCTCATTGAAGTCCTTTACTCTTTTGTTAGGAACTTAAAATGTCGAGTTGACCGGAAGTTTATTTTGTTCAAAGTCTACACAAAACAATCGAAAATAAATATCAGAATTCGAATCATTTATCTTCAATCATAATAACTTAATCTGTAAGAAACACTGAATTTCTTATTTCATGCTTAGTAGTATCGATAGTCCCCCTTCAGTACCGATACTTCCCATTGATGGTATCGATACCCCCTTTCGGTACCGATACCATTTCGACATACTGGAATTTCGGCTTCAAAATGGTATCGATACCTTACTCTTGGTATTGATACTCCCCTCTTAGTATCGGTACCCCAACAACCAGTACTGATACTGATTCTTGATTTTTAATTGATTTAGCCTTGAAGTATCGGTATTGTTCTTACATTACCGATACCCTTATCCAGATTTCAACTCGTCCATTCCAAATTTTAACCCATAATCACTTATTTTCCTTTCTCTTAACTCTTATAAACTTCTCAAACTCATTACTACTCCTACTAGACGATTTATCTCCATTTCTCTTCTTATAACATCCATTTTCCAAATAATATACTTAAAACTAAGAATCATATCATTGAATCAAACATGTTATAAGTTATTTCTAACACTTGAAATCTCTTAGCTATGATTTTGACAAGTCAATTCTACCTTTAGAATCCATTTATCAAACCATTTACAATTTTTTACTTCAAAACGCATCTTATTCATTCCCTAATAACTCCTTATATACTTAGTTTTTCTTCATTTCCAAGCTTCCTTAATCTTCTCTATCTCTTAAAGCTTTAATACAAACCCATAAATTAAGAAAATCAACAACTCACCTTAAACCAGGAAGTCACGAGCCAAAGATGAAGAAGAAGGGAAAATAGTTAAGTACCCAAATAGTTCTTATTCCTCCCTTATCCACTTAATTTATTCTAAAACAAAATGGATATAAAATCCATATGTTGATAAAGACCATCTTGCCCTTTCTCTTTTCTTTCTTAGCAAATATATCCTAACACAAAATTTCCAAACACTAGTCCTTAAACTTATCACTTATTTTAATTAAACTATTAAATTCTAGAGTTCTTACATTTTGATCACTAACTCGATGTTTGATGTATTACAATTAAAAATATGGGTAAACTATACAAATGGTCACTTATATTTCAGTAAATTTTTTCTTATACTGATGTTTTAAAACTAATGATTTGGTCACTACAATTTTTTATTTATAATAAATTAATTATTTGACATTAACTATCATTATTGTGGCTGATAAAAAAATGATGTGACGCATTAGCCATTGACCTGATATCATTTGACTATGAGATAATCATTTTGATTGATCTTTCTCAATAAATTAAGTTCAATTTTTACCTAATTTGATCTGTATTTTATATATTGATTCTAATCACTCATATTAATTTATAAGTAATCCATGTTTGGACTCAATACTCGAATATTAACTCAAAAATTTAGATCGTTACAATACCCTCAAAATTGGTAAAAATCAATTATACGCTCTGTAGACACACTTTTTCTGACCACAATAAACATATATATATTTATATATTATGTATATATTACATATATATATATATAAGTATTATTATTGTTGTATTACATTAACACGTTTACATTTATGTTGTTTCTATATTAGGCCCAAACTCGGATTGCATGTGGCCTAGCAGAGTGTTCTACCACACACACACGTGAGCCCAAACACGTGCAGCCCAACAGACCCCAAACATGCAACAAGCTAGAATTTTCAAAACCCTATCATCCTAAGCACCGCTCGACCAAACCCCGAAGACATCAACACCGCACGCCCCTCATCCTCGTAACAATCACACACGAAGCTCTATGTCTCCTCATGCTCCACGTCTCACCAACGCCGGTTTCCTCGGCAACAAACCAACAAATCAAGTCAAGAAAAGCAGACCAACAAACAAGAGTTAGATTAGGACTCAAAGACTAGTCTAAAATAGGGTTTTTTAGTATTATAAATAAGTCTTGTAATTACCACACAAGGGACAGAGAGATTAGGCACAGATTACACACGAAAATACCTAGAGATTGCATGTGACATACTCAAAATACGCAGGATCTAAGGCTTGTAAAAGTTTTTTTAAAAAAAGAAATAAATAAAGGTAATACCTTTTTACCTTTATTTCGACCGATTCTTCCTTGCATGCGTGGTTGCCTTGTTATATTTTCTCCAAAAAACCAAAAAGTTTTTACCGATCAAAAGAGTGAGGCCCTTATTTTTGAAAAATATTTCTTAGATCTACTCTTCCCTAAAGCTTGGTTTTAAAAAAACTTTGATTTTTGAGAAGTGGAGGGAGAGAGCTTTCAGAAAAAGGAATTTTTTTAACTTTTACCGGCGATGACCGGCAGTCGACGCCGATTAACGGCGACAACGAGGCAGCTTGGAGCGGCGTATGGCCGGTTTCTGGAGATGGTCAGCCCCTGTTCTTCATTTAGAAGAACAAACGAGAGTATTTTGAAAAGAGGTTGATTTCGGCTAAATGAAACAAATAAAAATAATAAGCCTTGACTTGGGATTTATACAAGACCCGTAAACCGACCCACGACCCGATCCGGAACCAAAATGACCCGCGCGTTTTTAAATAAAAATGGGGTAATCCTGTTTTTAGTCCCCCGTCGCTTTAATCCTTGTGTTTTGACCCAAAATCGATTTTGAAACCCCAATTCTCTTTTAATTTGGCCACTCGATTTGCCTTTCTTTTCAATTTAACCTCTGTTAACTTCAATTTGTCTATTAAATTTTAATTTTTTTAATTACTTGTTTCTTTTAATTACTTGTTTTTCTTATTATTTATATATATATATATATTACGTTTCATTAATTTTATTATTATTAGTATTGTTATATATATATATTTACTATTTTATTTCCTATATGTATATGTATATATTTTCTCTTACTTTTGATTTCCCATTTTATATTATTATTATTTTTTATTATTATTTTACTTATATATATATATATATATACTTTTACCTTTTTATATTTTATTTATTTATTTATCTATTTTCTTTTATTTTTATTCTATATTTTTATCTTTTTATCTTCCTTTTATTTGTTTTATTTATTTATTTGCATTATCATCTTATTTTTATTTAGTTGTTTGCTATGTATATATTAGTGTTATTATTTTTCTTCATTTTTATTTATTTTATGTATTCTATTCATTTTTATATTTACTTTATTTTTTTATTACTTTCCTTATTTCATTTGTTTTACTTTCTTTATTATTTATTTATCTCTTCTAACACATATTTACTTTATTACTTTCCTTATTTCATTTGTTTTACTTTCTTTATTATTTATTTATCTCTTCTAACACATATTTTGACTTTTAAAGGGTACACTTTCAAATTAATCAATTGTAAGTAGTTGAGATCGCTATTTTACCTTTTAATTTAAAGTTACATTTTTCTTAACTAAAGACAATTGGAAATTACATAGTACCGAAAGGGCAGTTCAAGGGTGCTAACCATTCCTTAACTGTAACCGACTCCCGAATCTGACACATCACTGGTAAGACGCAAATCAGGTAATAAATAAGGTATACAGTCAACCTATTTACTTTTAAATAAATGATCGGTGGCGACTCCAAATCGTTAAATCCAAGTCGAAGCCCAATTCCGGGGCCCAACCAAAAGACGGTTCCGACAGCTTGGCGACTCCACTGGGGACATAGGTAAGTGAGTTAGGCTAAGGTAATTTCCAGTTGTCTTTTTAACGAAAAGGGTAAGTTTAAATTTTAAGGTAACATTTCGATCCTTATTGCTTACTTTTGATTATATTTTCGAGTAAATAGTTGTACTAAACGTTTTCTAATGCTTTCGACCTTCAAAGCTTCTTTTTCACTTAAGGCTCTATACCCGAGATCTGAACCTTATTTTAAGTGGGGGTGAAAGCGACGCCTTCCTATGAATTTATTCACCGTGCGGGCCTAGTAAGTAGCCTTTGGGATTCATATACCTTATATCTTCGTGTGAATTTATTCACCGTGCGGGAATAAGGGAATGTGTCCTCTCGAGTTTAAGTTAATCCACACAAGCTTGTAATAGGCTTAATACTAAGGGTCTAGCAAGCCCAAGGGGGCACCGGTAAGGAGAACTCGGGTACCGTTTTTTAGAACCTAAACCGGGAGACTATGGAGAATTAGAGCCTACCCCAAAACCACATTCCAAAACCACATTCCAAAACCTATTATGTTTTTACCCTAACCTTGTTATTTGTTTGTCTTTCTACTTTTTGTTTTTTCTTTCATCATTTATTTTATCATTTTTATTTTGCTAACTTTTTACCTTTGGGTTTGTTTTAAAGCACTTACATCATTTAAAAGAGGTGTTGATCCACGAAAAACGTGTTTGTTAAAAATGAATAATATGCATTAATGGACAAAGGGGTTGTAATACAATAGATGAAAATACAGAGGACAGTCTACAAGGCGACTATGTGTCACATTCAATTCAGAAGACGTGGCGCCCACAATTGAAGGGTATATCACTCTGCTGCGTTATAAAGGACTCAGAATGAATCGGATCTACATCAAGCACAATGAAAGTCTATCTTGGAAGAACTGACTGGCAGAGGTTGCAAGGGCAAGATCTTGGGAGTCCCTTCAAAGACTACAATGACAAAACGATAGCTGAAATTAGAGACCATTGCTGACGAATTCAAGAAACAGACAAATGAACTTCACATAGTTCTTATCAATTAAGGGCTCCAATGACGTATTCGTTGGGAACATGCTCAACAAAAGATAAATGCCCGAGATGCAGTCATTCGAGACTTCTTGGGCTAATACAAAAAGCAACTCAACATTTACACGGTTCATCCAGAGAAGCCGGAGCAGTACGACAGGTTATTCAACCGGTGACAGACGAACGCAGAAGACTAGTCAGCATGTCAGAAGTTGTCATGATATTTTTGGTCTCTTAAAAGATAAGACACTTTTGTCCCAATAAGGATTATTCATAATAACAGACACATTTTTTGGATCAATGCCTTGGATATTTCATGCATCATGCATTTATACATATTTTGCATTTTGTTATTTTCTTTGTATTCTCATTAACTAACAGAAGAATTCTTCAATAAAAGGAATAAATACTAGATACACCACCTCAAGCGTTGGACATACCCCATCCGCATAACATCCGCTTGAAAAAGAGGCGAATGGAGGCCAGAATCATTCAAATCGAAGAAAATATGGCAAAATTACATAAAGAGCTAGAGGATAAGATGTCTCAGAACAGTCAAAGTACCCTGCAGTCCATCAAGAAGAACCAGGAGTCCTTGGTCGATCAAATTATGGCCAAGTTATCGGGTCTCCAACAAGCTAATATACCAGGGGCAGGTTCATCTGAAAGAGTCACTATACCACCAACCCCACAAGTAGTTGTCTCACCCGGGATCTTACCCGGATTACAAGTGGACTCATCTGGTATCAAGGGAAAAGCCATATCTGGTGCAAATATACAAGCTTCCGCAACCAACATTGACAATCATCCGGAAAACTATCATATCCTGGATTTTGACGATGAGGATAAGGCAAAGAAGATGTAAGAGAAGATCAAGATGTTAGAAGATCATATGAAGATGGTCCAAGGGGACCATGATTACTATGGAGTGGACGCAATGGAGCTGAGACTGGTTCCAGATTTGGTGCTTCCACCAAAGTTTAAGGTCCCGAAGTTCGAGAAGTTCGACGGAAATAGCTGCTCTTCTGCTCATATCACTATGTTCTGTCGGAAGATGACAGGATATGGGGAAAATGACTAACTCCTGATTCACTACTTTCAAGAGAGCCTGTCCGGTTCAGTTATCCGGTGGTACAACCAGCTCAGCCGAACTCATATCAAGACATGGAAAGACTTAGCCAAGTCTTTCTTAGAACAGTACAAGTATATCAATGATATGAGACCAGACCGAGTTATGCTGCAGAGCTTGGAAAAGAAGCATAACAAAAGTTTCCGATAGTACGCACAGAGATGGAGGGATATGTCTGTACAGGTTCATCCACCTTTGGATGATAAGAAAACTAGAAAGCTGTTTGTACAGACCTTGAAGACGTCTTACTTCGGGCACCTTGTGGCAATTACATCGGGAACTTTCTCAGATCTAGTTATGGCTAGTGAGATAATCGAGCTAGCTATAAAACAAGGAAAAATTGAGGGAAGAGACTCGAGTGAGAGGCATCCCATGAAAAAAAAATAGTGAGAGATCAATAATGTCAACACCTACAACGCTAACAAAGGTGTTACGATCTCAACCACTGTAGTTGTAGCATCCGGTACTTCTAAATGAACTCAGAGAGAACCAAGGAATGAAAGGGAATTTTACCTGACTAATCTGGGGATTAGACCTCATAATGTCTTCCATAAAAAGACTCGCATCAGTTCAATCCCAATGACATATGAGGAGTTGCTCCCAACGCTAGTTGAGAAGAATCTTGTGACTCCGGTTCAATTCAAACCTAGAGAGGCCCCATATCCTAAAGGCCATGATATTAACGCCATATGCAGTTATCATATCGGGAGCTCAGGGCACACCATTGAGAACTGTGGGGCATTGAAACGTATAGTCTATAATCTGATCGATTCAGGGGCATTGACTTTCAATGAGTAATGTGGCATTCTGATTGAGTTGATTGGGGGCATCCATCAAGAGTTTTGTTGTGTTCTCATCTTGTTTGAAATTGTTTTTCTTTTGTGCTTCTTATGTTCAAAATTCACTTGACGTTCAAACATTTAAATAAAATGCATCCTTTTGAGGAAATGAACAAATTTTAATCTTGAATTCCTTGAATATCACCTTAATTAAAATATGTTTAATAATTTAGGTTGTAAATCTTTGACAAATAACAAGATTAAACCCTGCAAAACAAAGACCCCTTGGTCCTAATTTAAAAGATACATCAGACTACACGCTCTTCTCTTACAAGGATCGAGCTAGTTTTTTCTTCTCATGAAGAGTCCATCAAATGTTTGGTATTCAGGTATGTGTTAGGAGTGAACAAAATGGGGCAACTAGCACATGAGATTGCAAAGCTAATTGGTTTATACTTTTGTTTAAGACGTTCAGTGATGATCATGATCTTCTCAGATGAAATAGTCAAGTATGTGAATCTAGTTTAGGTCAGTTGCCTGGGAATTGAACTCTAACGATGAGATTTTCTGACCTTCAAAAACACCTAGACTATAACAGGTTCTTCTTAACAAACTTAAGGAATTGGACCCATATACCCATATTATAATATTATTTATATACAATAAAGCTTGAGTTGTCCCTCTAGAGCAATTGGTTAAACGCCCCGGCTTTATGGATAATATTCAGCTAGCCTGATAAAGATGATTATACTATACAATAAAGCTTGAGATGTCCCTCTAAGGCAATTGGTTAAACGCCCCAGCTTTATGGATAAGATTAAGCTAACTTGATAAAGGTATTTACATATTGATTTGTTCCTCTAGAGCAATTGGTAAAACGCCCCGACTTTATGGATCCAACTAGCCATTTAATGGTAAATCTAAATAAGAAGTTTCGGTAAAAATGGACTAAGGGAGTTAAGGAAAACATGTTATAGGCAAATACACACAAGAACTCAAGAATCTCAATTTTAGACCGATATTTCTGCACTACCTTTGTTAGATGAGCTTACAAAACTTGAACAAATGGAAGATTTCGGAGAACTGAAACAGAAATATTCTGAAAGGTCTAGCCATTGATTATGCTAGTTGTGTCATTTTGTTCGCCTTTGATCAAAATATCAAATCAAGAAAAAGGGTATGCCATGATCTTCACGATGATCGAATCGATGAAACAAACCTTAATGACCCATCTCTAAACCAACTTTTCGATCTTGATATTTGTCAAAGGTTTGCAGCTATCAAAGATTAAAATAACATTTGATTCTTTCGATATCCAATAAACTCTTATTTTATGATTTGCTTCAATTCTGAAACCTAGAAGGAGACAATATTTTCCAAAAATCCTTTTGATATTTTTCAAAATATTGAAAATTCAAAGGAAGAAAAGCATTTTCAAATAAGATGAGTTCTCTTGAAGCATGTCTTGGAAATCAACGAATATCTCTCCGAAGCTCAAGGTTGAAACTGGGGCAAGAGAAGCCAAATTTTTGGGGAAAATTTTGATAGGGAAAGGAAAACAAATTGTCTTAGGCTGAGGTTTACAAGAGTACACCACGGTGGAAATAAAGACAAACTGAGAGAATGAAGACTCCTCACGCAATTATTCCCTTCACAAATCAACATTATGTACATCGGATTTAAGTATATTGAAGAATCCAAGATTAATAATCAGAAATTCAAGATTTCAGCATCGAGAGTCATCAAGACTGACAACCAGAGATTGAGATTTCTCTCCAAACCCTAAAATAACATGTTTCGAATATACATTTTAGGCATACATAAGAGCATCGCATCCATAGCATCACATATATGCATAATTTTGCAGATTTATGCTAGAGTCAATTTAAACTTCATATCGAATGAGCCATCCCCGATTTCAACTTCACGAAGAATGATATCGTGCCCGATGAAGTGATTTAGTGTCATAATAAACATACCATCCACAGATTTAACTTCCTTAAGTCAACGATTAAAGCTTCTGAAAGGATTATCGATCACCTTTGAGATTGTTTCTCTCGAAACAAGGGGGCATCTCGCTCAAGACTAATTTACTCAAAACAAAGTTTTGTCTCTCTTAAGACAGTTTCTCTTAAAACAAAATTTCTCTTAAAACAAATTTTGTCTCTCTTGAGACAGTTTCCTTTGAAACAAATTTTGTCTTTCTTGAGACAGTTTCCCTTGAAAAAAAACCTTTGAAACAGTTTTTCTTGAAACACAAAAAACCTTGAGACAGTTTCTCTTGAAGCACAAAAAAACCTTTAAAATTGTTCTCTTGAAACACAAAAAAAAACCTTTGAAAATGTTTCTCTTGAAACACCAAATCTTCGAGTTCAGTTACGCTCAGCTCAAAGGCACATCATTGGTAGCATAGCTTAAGTCGAGAAAAGCTATATGTCAACGAAGACCTTTCGAGTTCGATCTCATTCAGCTTGAGTGTCTATCAACCACATGGTGAAATCAAAGAATTATTTTCCAGTCAAATTTTCAAACCAAGGTCTTTAAACCGAGAAGAAGACCGGAGTTGACTACAATTTGGCAACAATAAGCCACATTCCGATTCAAATTCTGAATTGCTGCTTCAATTCCAATTCAAGATGAACCCGACATCGCAACTAAGGAGTCATACATAACTCAACCTCACGACGAGGAAGTCATTTCAAGATTCAATTCAAATTGATAAATCAATCTCAGCATCAGATTTCAACTCTACAAAAGAGGATATTCGATGGGGATTTGACCCCAATATGGATGATGTTAAATTTGGATACATTTATGGTAAACGAAAAGTGTGTCTTTTAATCTTTGTCCTATCCCCGTTACACGACTATGGGCAAAGAGGGGCAGCTGTAGACACATTTTTTCTGACCACAATAAACACATATATATTTATATATTATGTATATATTACATATATATATATATATATAAGTATTATTATTGTTGTTTTACATTAACACGTTTACATTTATATTGTTTCTCTATTAGGCCCAAACTTGGATTGCATGTGGCCCAGCAGAGTGTTCTACCACACACACACGTGAGCCCAAACACGTACACCCCAACAGACCCCAAACATACAACAAGCTAGGGTTTTCAGAACCCTAGCATCCCAAGCGCTGCTCGACTGAACCCCGAAGATATTAGCGCCACATGCCCCTCATCATCGCAACAGCCACACGCGAAGCTCTCGATCTTCTCATGCTCCACGTCTTACCAACGCTGGTTTCCTCGGCAACAAACCAACAAGTCAAGTCAAGAAAAGCAGACCAACAAACAAGAGTTAGATTAGGACTCAAAGACTAGTCTAAAATAGGGTTTTTTAGTATTATAAATAAGCCTTGTAATTACCACACAAGGGACGGAGAGATTAGGCATGGATTACACACGAAAATACCTAGATATTGCACGTGAAATACTCAAAATACGCAGGATCCAAGGCTTGTAAACGTTCGAAAAGAAAGAAATAAAGAAAGGTAATACCTTTTTACCTTTAGTTCGACTGATTCTTCCTTGTATGCGTGGTTGCCTTGTTATATTTGCTCGAAAAAAACAAAAAGTTTTTGCCGATGAAAAGAGTGAGGCCCTTATTTTTGAAAAATATTTCTTAGATCTACTCTTCCCTAAAGCTTGGTTTTAAAAAAACTTTGATTTTTGAGAAGTGGAAGGAGAGAGCTTTCGGAAAAAGGAATTTTTTTAACTTTTACCGCCGATGACCGGCGGCCGACGCTGATCAACGGCGGCGGCGAGGTGGCTCAGGGCGGCGTATGGCCGATTTCTGAAGATGGCCAGTCCCTGTTCTTCATTTGGAATAACAAACGAGAGTATTTTGAAGGGGGTTGATTTCGGCTAAATGAAACAAATGAAAATAATAAGCCTTGACTTGGGCTTTATACAAGACCCGTAACCCACGACTTGATCCGGAACCAAAACAACCCGCACATTTTTAAATAATAATGGGGTAATCCTGTTTTTAGTCCCCGTCGCTTTAATCCTTGTATTTTGACCCAAAATCGATTTTAAAACCCCAATTCTCTTTTAATTTGGCCACTCAATTTGCCTTTCTTTTCAATTTAACCTCTTTTAACTTCAATTTACCTATTAAATTTTAATTGTTTTTTTAATTACTTGTTTCTTTTAATTACTTGTTTTTCTTATTATATATATATATATATATATATTACGTTTCACTAATTTTATTATTATTAGTATTGTTATATATATATATATATATTTATATTTCCTATTTTATTTCCTATATGTATATGTATATATTTTCTCTTACTTTTGATTTCCCATTTTATATTTTTATATTTTTATATTTTTATTATTTTACTTATATACTCTTACTTTTGATTTCCCATTTTATATTTTTATTTTTTACTTATATATATATACTTTTACCTTTTTATATTTTATTTATTTATTTATCTATTTTCTTTTATTTTTATTCTCTATTTTTATCTTTTTATCTTCCTTTTATTTGTTTTATTTATTTATCTACATTATCATCTTATTTTTATTTAGTTGTTTGCTATGTATATATTAGTGTTATTATTTTTCTTCATTTTTATTTATTTTATGTATTTTATTCATTTTTATATTTACTTTATTTTTTTATTACTTTCCTTATTTCATTTGTTTTACTTTCTTTATTATTTATTTATCTCTTTTAATACATATTTTAACTTTTAAAGGGTACGCTTTCAAATTAATCAATTGTAAGTAGTTGAGATCGCTATTTCATCTTTTAATTTAAAGTTACATTATTTTTTAACTAAAGACAACTGGAAATTATATAGTATCGAAAGGACAGTTCAATGGTGCTAACCCTTCCTTGACTGTACCGACTCTCGAATCCGACACATCACTTGTAAGACGCAGATCAGGTAATAAATAAGGTATCCGATCAATCTATTTACTTTTAAATAAATGATCGATGGTGACTCCAAATCGTTAAATTCAAGTCGAAACCCAATTCCGGAGCCCAACCGAAAGACGGTTCCAACACGTCCAGAGTCGATTAAAAAATCAATTCAACCCCTCTACGAAATCATTATTAACATGTGAACTATTATACCAATATAATGAACCACAACATCAATCTCTTTAATGTCGTATCGACATCATAATAATCAATTTGAATAAAAAATAAAATGAATTCAATGAAACGACATATCTTTTAACGGACTTATTACATTTTAGTCAAAAGGTAATTTTGTCTCTGCTAATATGGTCTATTTCATTGCTATTTTCCAACGTATAGACCACGAAGTAAAACACACGGCGAAGACTCTCTCAATTCTAGCCTTATATGATCTATATCTATCATCTTTATGGCTTTGAACTTTGAAATCATGGAAACTGCAATTCCAGTCACTGTTATGGACTCTCTCTCTCTAGTTAAAAACAGGGGTAAATTATTCAAATGACCACATTTGTTACACCATTTGTTTTTAACAGTAAGTGGCTAGATTGAAATCACTTAGATAGTTTTGTGGTAATATTGCAAAAATTGAAAGTATGGTGATCATATCAACATCAATCCCATAACTAAGTGGTCAGATTTTAAAATCCGAGCTCTATTCAATTTTTAACCCATAATCACCCGAACGACCTAGAGGAAAAATAAAAAAGAAATCAACCTTTTTCATCAACGGATTAATTACTTATATGATCACTCATTTAATCTCAATTCAAGAATCCACTTTTACATTAAATTAAGCTCAATTTTCATCTAATTTGGCCCATATTTTATATAGCGACTCTAATCACACATACTAATTAGGTAATCCATGTTTGGAGTCAATACTCCAATATTAACTCAGAAATTTAGATCGTTACAATACCCTCAAAATTGGTCAAAAATCAATTATACGCTCACACTCGATTTAAAAAATCAATTCAACCCCTATACTAAATCATTATTCACGTGTAAACTATTACATTAATATAATGAACCACAATATCAATCTCTTTAATGTCGTATCGACATCGTAATAACCAACTTGAATAAAAAATAAAATGAATTTAATGAACTTTCTCATCACAACATATCTTTTAGCAGACTCATTACATTTTAGTCAAAAGGTAATATTGTCTCTGCTAATATGGTCTATTCCATTGCTATTTTACAACGTATACGCCACGAAGTAATACACACGGCGAAGACTCTCTCAATTCTAGCCTTATCCGATCTCTATCATCTTTATAGCTTTGAACTTCGAAATCATGGAAAGTGCAATTCCAATCACTGTAATGGACTCTCTCTGTGTGTGGTTAAAAACAGGGATAAATTATTCAAATGAACATTTAACTATGAGGTTAGTGTCGAAATGACCATCGTACTTTCAATTTTGACAATATGACCATATAACTAAGTGGTTCCAATGTAGCTACCTTCCGTTAAAAATAGAGGGCGTAGCTGATGTGGTTGTTATTGACTAATGGCTAGTTAGAGGTCCTTATAAGTTACACCGTCTGTTTTTAATGGTAAGTGACTACATTGAAACAACTTAAGTAGTTATGTGGTCATATTGTTAAAATTAAAAGTATGGTTGTCATATTAACATCAACCCGATAACTAAGTAGTCATTTGGGTAGTTTACCCTAAATACAATAAATCTTGAAACAACTAAATATTCAATCCTACAAAGAAACTAGTGTATCTGTATCTGATCTACATGAAACCTTCGAGTATGTCTGAAAAGAGCAAAAACACAACCAGAAGCTCAATACCCTCTAAGTTTGGTATGTTCTTGTCGTCTTTCATCTGGTTTTTAGTAGTAACGCATACAATCTCTGTTGAGGCAGTATCTTCTTATGACTGTTCCTCGTTTGATGAACCATCTTCTCATGCGTCCAAAGTTTATGGGACAAATCCAGGTAACAGTGAAAAGCTACAGCCTTGCGTTACTACTAAAAAACATCCGCTGCTGTTCCAATTTCCTGTATCTCCAGGTCCCAATTTAATTCGCCTTCATTTCAATCCCTTCTCATATTCAGGCTTTAATATTTCCAAAGCATTGTTCTCTGTCAGTGCTGCTCACTTCACTCTTCTGAAAACATCCACTGCTTCGTACTCTAAATGCCTTCCGGATGATTGTTACATCGTGACGGAGTTCTGCATCGATGTCGACGACCAGGAGCTTAATGTAACATTCACCCCGTCACCGGATGTTGCTGATGCATATGCATTTGTGAACAAGATTCAGGTTGTCTCCATGCCTTCGAATCTTTACATCCGAGAAGTCGTTTCGCTGCCCTTGATTGGACAACCTTCCCCATATTATATCAAGAACTCGACAGCTCTCGAGATGATGTACCGACTGAACGTAGGTGGAGATTTGATCCCTGAGCAAGAAGATACCGGCATGCTTCGGAAATGGGTGTCCGATGAAAGTTTTTTGACGACTGATAAAAGTAACAGGGAATTATATCCTTCAGATGAATATCGATACTGGCTGCCAACGGTTATCCTTTCTTCGAATGTTCAAATCAAGCCAAGTTCGACGATGTCGGCATACGTTGCTCCAGGGAAAGTTTATGCTTCCGCAAGGACAGTTGCTTATGATGCAAGCAATCAAAATGGAGCTACATGGTTACTGCCAGTCGACTCTGGTTTCTATTACCTTGTTAGACTCCATTTTTGTGAGATCTCAAATAAGATTAAGGGCGTTGGTCAAAGAGTTTTCCATGTCTATATTGAGGATCAAACTGCTGAAGATAAGGCAGATATATTTCTCTGGTCTCATGGAGTTGGTGTTCCGGTTTATAGAGATTACGTCGTATACTTTGCCGAACATGCCAAGAGGGGAACAAATCTGTCAGTTTCAATACGAAACAGCAATGGTTCAATCGAGAAATCCATGCCAGCGATCTTAAACGGATTAGAAATTTTCAAGTTGTCCAATTTCAACAACAGTCTTGCAGGATCATTTTCATTTGGAATTGGAAAGTACTCGAATCCATTGACAAGACATGGTGGAAATTATTTAACTGTCGTAATTTCTGGTCGAATCTTCATCAGCATTCTTGTTCTAACTACTCTATGGCAATTAGTGGTTTCTTGTTGGAGAAGGCAGAGAGAAATATTTTTGCAGTCCCATTCATCGGACCATTTCCGGTGCTTCTCATTTGATGAGGTAAAGTTAGCCACTAACAACTTCTCTGCTGCTTTACTTCTTGGGACTGGGGGTTATGGGAAGGTTTACAAGGGATTCATTAATGGTGGCACCGACATTGTTGCGATAAAACGAGCCAATCCACGCTCTCACCAAGGGCTAAATGAGTTCCAAACCGAAATTTTTCTTCTGTCACAGCTCCGGCACTGTCACTTAGTCTCGTTGATCGGAAGTTGCAAGGAAAAGAAGGAAATGATACTCATGTATGACTATATGGCAAATGGAACCTTACGTGATCATCTATACAATATGAAGAAGCCTCTACTTCCATGGACGCGAAGGCTCGCAATCTGCATCGGTGCAGCTCGAGGGCTGCATTACCTTCACACGAGTTCAAAGCACTGCATCATACACCGTGATGTGAAGAGCACCAACATACTGTTAGATCAAAATTGGGTGGCAAAGGTTTCAGATTTCGGACTATCGAAAATCGGCCCCAACATGCTAACTCAATCGAATACGCATGTCTCTACGATGGTGAAGGGCAACTTCGGGTACTTGGATCCGGAGTATTACAAGCGTCAGAAGTTAACCGAGAAATCAGATGTGTACTCCTTTGGGGTAGTGTTGTTTGAGGTACTATGTGCTAGGCCTGCTATTCTACAAGGAACAGAACACTTGGAGGAAGAGCAAGAGAAGATAAATTTAGCCGAGTGGGCACTGCATTGTTACCAATCAGGGAGGTTGGATGAAATTGTTGATCCATATCTACAAGGTGCAATAGATCCAACATGTTTGACAACATTCACAGGTATTGCAAGGAAATGTTTGTGTGATAAGGGCATTGAAAGGCCAACAATGGGTGAGGTGTTGTGGAATTTGGAGCAGGCTTGGCTGCAGCAGGAGAGTGCTTGTTTACAAAACAATGGCGACGGCGGTGCAGCTGATGAATCGTCTGCGATAATAGATGTTAATGGAGCGCATTTAGAGGGCACTTCAGATCTCAGTCCAGGAGTAGAGTTCTCCGAGATCATAGCTCCGATCGGGCGTTGAGAATTCCGAAGCTATAATAATCCATAAATATAGTTTTAATTGTACAGTATATATAGTACCACCCTGTCATTGCTTCTTGAAACCTGATGGTTGAGCCATATAAACATCCTGAGTTCGAGCTTCTATAAGGTATGTGTATTGTCAATAGGTTAAGAAAATAACCTTCTTTTATACAACTAAAGCCGCTTAATAGGTTCACGGTAATAATAATCTTATGTCGACTGGACATTCAGAAAGTGGTGATGAGTCTGTGTTGTAGTCTTTGTTGTTGCAGGGACACTCACTGAAGCAAGTTGAACAGGTAGAGGAAACCTAGGAGAGTTAGCGGGTAACCGTACTGAATGCCTTTGTGAAAAAGGTTTTGACAGCTACAAAAGGAAAACAACTTTATTAAATTTCAAATATTTTGAGACAAATTTTAAGTTAAACATGTCTTTCAGATAGAAATTTTCCAGCCTCACCAAAATTTAAAAATAGCTACATGTTTAGTAGCTTAACTGTTATTTTTATTCTATTTTGACAACTTAACTATTATTTATTTTTTTAAATCATACGTAACTAGGGATGGGTATGGGACCCAAATCCGACGGGTTCTGATCAGACTCAACCTAATCGGGTCGGGTCGGGTTTTTTAAAAAGAAGTTCGTGTTCAGGTTGGGTCGAGTTCTTTTCAATGTGATGTTCAGGTCGGATCAGGTTCAGGTTTAGGCTAAAAAATATCCGACCCGACCTGAAAAAATATAATTTTACCTTATATATTTAGGAATAATTATAATAATACCCCTCTCTATATGTTATTTTTTTCAATAAAGTCACTGTCTTTATTGAATAAAAATAATATTTTTTTATTATTTCGGGCCGGGTCGGGTTTTTAAGTTATATATCGGGTTCGGGTCGGTTGGAATCTTGTTTTGGTCGGGTCGGATCTCCGGTGGAGAATTTCTTGTTCTCTGGTCGGGTCAGGTGGACCAAAAACCCGACCCAACCCGACCCATGCTCATCCCTATACGTAATGTTAAAAAGCAATAGAATTGCTGACATAGCATTTGAAAAATCAATAATGATGTGACACTATCTTATAGTGACAAGTTAGAATCATCGTTAATTTTTTAATGATGGGTAACTAAAATAAAACCAAAACCTAATATTAGATATGATTTTAAAACAAAAGTAGTTGGGTACTAAATGTGTCATTTTCCCTTAAAAAATATAAAGCATTTTTTATTAAAAAAGAAAAGAAAAATCAATCATATGATGCGATTTTCGTAGTTTTAGAGTTTGGTTATGCTACAATTAGTTTTTTACACCACAAATATTATATTCTTCCAAAGGGATATTCCTTTACTTGTTTTTAGGGTAAATTATAATTTTAGTAATTGAACTTTACTCTCTATTCTATTTCATTTATTATATTTTCAGTTATTTTTATTCATTGAACTTTTAGATTACTTATGTTTTGGTCACTCTAAATTATTTTATAATTATTTTGTGTGACATTACATTTAATATTAGGGTAAACTACTTGAATGACCACTCTAAATTATTTTATAATTATTTTGTGTGACATTACATTTATTATTAGGGTAAACTACTTGAATGACCACCCAACTATGAGATTGGTATCAAAATGATCACCATATTCAAATTTGTATCAATATGATCATTGAACTATTTAAATTAGTTCAATATATGTTCTAGCCGTTAGTATTTAACGTAATTAATGGTGTGGCAATTAACAAATTGGTTTAATTATACATTTGATCCTCAATATTTATACATTCTCTCAATTTGACCTTAATTTAATAAATTTAATTCTCTAATCAAATTGTGACACACGCATACAGTGTGATGCTAACTATTTGACCTAAAGGAATCATACTCCTATACACAAATTCTGTAAGTGGTGTATGTAATAGTTTGGTCGAGTCTTGCGTGCCTACACTTTAATGCTATTGGAATTGTGTTTATATTCGTCATCTATAGATATGAAGAAACCGAAACACAAAGATCCGTCAAAAGTAGTCATCAAATGCCTCCTCCTTGTTACTGTCCGCAGTACCTGCACAATACGGGTCTCCAAAACTAAGATAAACGACACAGTAAATTCATTACTTTCATTAAATACTAAAAAGTGGTTCACGGCTTGAGTAAAATGAAACAGTAAATTCTTGATTTTTCTATAATTATTTCCTAATACACTTGACTTATTTCTAATATAAATGAATTTAAAATTCATTCAATGGGAAATTACCATTATACCTTACATGAAATATGGTAATTTCAACTTGCCACCATAATATCTTCCGTTTTAATATTCTAAAGTCAAAGATAAAAAAATAAAAATCGACTTCCACCTTTGACTTTTGCAATTTTCAAAAATTACAATTTAATCACAAAATTTCATAATTTTGGCTTAACATAGAAAATCAACCTTAATTCCACTCATTAATGTTAAATTTCACCGTTCTAATTTATGGATGATATTTCTAACTTTTTTCTATCATCCTTGAGAATTTTTTGAAATTTTGATTCGATTCGATTATCCAAATTCTTATCGAACTTTATTGCTTTATAGCTTTAAGTACAAATCTCGAATCAAAATTCTGATTCCGACAAAAACATCAATTTCAAAATAAACTATTCATTTACGAGTCAAAATATATAACTTTTAAAAATCACACTTTTGTTCCTAAACTTTTATAAAGTTTATACTTTGGTCACTAAACTTTCAAAACTTACATTTTGGTCACTAGCCAAAATTTTTAATATTACAATCAAAGTTTTTTTTAATTTGAGAAAATTTTAGGCTTTATATATATATATATATATATATATATGTTTTTCAATTTAAATAAAATTTTCAAAATTATTATAAATGTGACACGTGTTATTTAACGGAGGAATTTAGCGGAGGTAAAGGTCCAAAAACCTAAAATGTAACATTGGAAACATTAGACATATAAATTGATCAGAAAACAATTTAGATACCTAAATAAAAAAGGATATATATTAGGGACCTATTTTTGTATTAAGCCTTATGGAAACTGTAATTTAAATCACAGTTATGGGCTCTCTCCCTAGTTAATATCGGTAAATCTAGAAACAACTAGACATCTAATCCTCCATAGACTTTTAGGGACACTTTAGTCATTTAATGGTCGAAACATTTTCATTAGTCTCTAGTCCACACATGTAGGCCTCTAAACGAACCGAATGCACACGAACGAAGGTATGTTCATGCTCGTTCATTTAATAAATAAACGAACATAAATGAACAACAACAAATTTTTGTTCATGTTCGTTATGTAACAACCCGGAAAAAATTATTTATATTTAAGCATTTTGGAGAAATTTGGAGATTTAATTAAAAGTTTCCAGAACTTGTAGGCTGTTTTAGAAGTTGAAGGAAATTCAGGGACCTAACCCATAATTCCCCCATTTAGTGTCAACAACCCTTTGTTAAATGCGTTCAAAATTGGTTTCTGATTTCAAAATCAGAAACAATTGCTTAAACATTTACTCTCCCGCACCTCTCATTCCAAAGTCAATTCAGTCATCGTCCGACCATCCTTTGTCGATCTGAAACCACCATTGTGTTCGTCTTCGACCGATGAACAAAACCCCGTAAACCGATTGTAGTGAAAAATTGTCTAACGCCATGAATTTCGATTCAAAGTTTCGACATTTTTTAACACCACCACCGGGAAAATCGTCAATTCATCGTCGATCGTTGCTCCCTTTTCGACACCTTTCGCACCATCGTGTTCCTTGTGTCGTTCTGAGTCCACTGGTGCCCTTCTTGTCTCCGTCATCACCGGCGCGTAAGGGAGGTGAGGAAGTTAAAGTTTCCGACGTGTTGAAATCGAGCTCTCCACCATTCAAAATTTTGAACCGAGCTTGGTAAGTGTCTCAAAATCCCATTAAATAATTTTAGAAATTTTTCGGGCTCCCAAGCGAGCGCACGCGCCCCCACACGCCGTACATGTGTGTGGGGAAGGTCCACGCGTAGTGGACAACTTGAAATAGTTGACCCGAACCATTTTGACCGACCCGACCCGGTCCAACCGAACCCGACCTGGTCCAACCGGACCTGACTGCCCGACCCGACTCGTTGACTTTGACCAAAAAGTTAAAATTTTCGAAAAGATATATTTTATGGTTTTTGTCGTCCTGAGTCCGATTCCAAAGTCCGTTTTGTCAAATTTGAACCCGAAAGCCTCGAAATTGTCAGTCAAACCCGTTGACTTTGACTAAAAAGTCAAAAATTTTGAAAAATTATATTTTATGTTTTTGACGTCCTGAGTTCGAATCCGAAGTCTGTTTTGCCAAATTCGAACTCGAAAGCCTCTAAATTATCAGTTAAACCCGAACATGCATATATATATTTAAGAGTTTTAGCTTTGAATGATTAAATTAAGACTTGAGACTGATTAGTTATTGTTATATGAAGGTACAAAAGACTCTCCTAATCGCTCGACAGCTAGACCCAGCTCCTCTAAATCCGTTAGACCGCGCGTGTTAGTATTCACTCGTATGACCCGTAAATCTTACAATTTCATAAATTAATTATGTTACCCACTAGTAATGTAGTATTATTATGAATTAGGTTCGAAAACTGTAGCAGAGCGTGGCGAGGCCAATACTCAATAGATCTACAGTTTGACCTTATTATCGAGGTGTGTTCCCTATGTATCACTTAATTGTTTTATTTGTTTTGACATGTGGTACCCCAAAATTTATGATTTACTGGTGATGGCTTATGGACTATGACTGATATATGATTATTGGTTTTCACTGGTATATGATTACAGATTTATGGAAATTATGCTTACTGTATAAATTATATTTTTGATATACCGATTTTGGGTAGGACTGAAGTACGGAGGTACAACTCTGATCAAGTTGGTAAACCTTATGGACCTAATGTGACTCTTGGATAGGCTCTCGGGCCCCAAGATCCTCCATTAGGTTGGCTCCATTTGCTGTGTGCTTAGGGTAAGCGCTACGAACCTAAGGATACATAGGCCACAAGGCATATCCTCAGGTTGGCTCCCTTTTGCTGTGTGCTTAGGGTAAGCCTTATGGATGCAGTTCTGGGGAACTACAATTAGTGTACGGGATGAGGGTTTTAAACTACAAGTTTAAAAAAAAACTAAACTACATTATGATTTATGAGGTTTTACTAAACCATTATTGGTTTATTGTACCTACCATGATTTTATCGTACTATTGGGACACACTATGCCCTA